GCTGTCGGGACCCGTGCCGTGATGGTTGCTTTAACCATCACCTCCAGGGTGCCCTCCGCTCCCTGGCTCCCTGGCTCCCTGGCTCCCTGGCTCCGGGCAGGCGAGTTGGGCACATTGGTTTGGAGGGAGTTAAACTTTTCACAGTTTTCTGGATTGTTTGCAGTTCAGTCCTGTGCAGCGTAATGAAAGTTTTCTAGCCATCTGTTGTTAAGCTGGCGGTGAGCAAGGCCAGTAATATCCAAACAAAGTTCTGGCCTGCTGTAAACTGAACCTGTCAGCTCGGCATAGCTCTGCTGACCCCGGGGAACAGGGCGGCCCTGGTACCAGGCACTCGGTGCAGAGCTTTCGGGGGGATGATTTGGGGATGGGGCGGGGGCCTGTTTACTTTTTCTCTCCGTGTTTCTCTCACTGGATTGGACTAGTTTACACTTAATCTTTAAATGGCTATAAATGGATACTTGCTCCCCTCCCTTTTCAGGGGCACATTACTTCTGTATAAGGGATTGCAACTTTCAGAGCAAGGTGCGAGTGCCCGTCGGCCGAGCGGGGTGCTGCGACTCGGAGGGGGTTCTGCGCAGTTCGTTTTGTTTTATTACTTCGTCTCTCAGTGTTTGGAGACAAATGGTCCAGGCTCTTATACTTACTGTTCAGCTTATATAACTAAGCACGTTTGAGAACTTTAAAAGAACATTTTGCCCCTTTTCTCCTGCCGTGTATTTCATCTGACGTTCACAAGCAGGGTAACTAGAGCAGCCCTTGGACCCTGCTCCCCACTCTGGAGGGTTCCTGCTTCTGTGGTCATTTCCAGCGTTTACCTCTGGCTTTGAATTGCCCAGCTTAACCATAAAATAATGTGACTATTTTGTGGTATTTTTCCTTTTGTAGTAAATGTTTAATTCCTCCTGATTCACAGTGCTTCCTAGGCTGTATATGAAATACCCCTTTACATTCAGATAATGTATGTATGTATGTCTCAACACCTGTCTCAGCCTACCCCTAACCTTTGTGGGTTTCCCTTTGTTAATGACACCTGTGGGTGCTGTTTTTTGTTTGTTTGTTTGTTTTATCTTGGTCTTGCTATATAGTGTATTTCCTGTCCGGCATTGGTAACATTTGTGCTCTGTTAAGAGAGGGCTCTGGGGAGCTATTGTCAAATCTCTGTATCCATCTCAATTCATTAAAATATCAGGGAGAGTGGCCACTGTCATTGAGTAAGTCTGTCAGCCCTCCCTTGCCTGCCTTGCCCTCCAGACGAGAAGCAGACCACAGTCCTACACAGTAACAAAGAGAAAAAGGGCTCAGAGGATGTACATTTGTCTAAGGCACCCACAGGAGAGAGTTTGGGCTCAACTCTAACTGCAATCAAGGAATGTACAAGGGTCAGGAATTCCGTAAATGGAGGGGGCGGGTAGGAGCACAGGGATAGACAAGGAGATGCAGGCTTCTCCTTTAAGGGGCGCGCTGTTGCAGGAGTGAAAGTGTTCCATTTAAAGTGTAAATGAGAGCACTTGGTGTGGAAACACCGTACCGTCCTGCTCTGTTGGTGAGGTGCTTTTTAGTTTTAAGGTAAAATAAAAAATGTATTTGGGGTAGTTTCGGGTGTAAATGTCGGTTGCAAAGTAACTGGACTCACTCTGAGAGTCAAGCACATGACCTTGGCATTTAGGACATCGCCTCTCAGCGGCGAGATCGCGTTTTGTTGTGTCTTTTCTCCCTTAAAGGAGGGCTGCGTGGAGGGCCACCTATTAGCGGTGTTTTTGCTGTCTTAAACTCAGCCCTCTGTCTATTAAAATCAAACCACTGTGTAAACATTCCAGTGTTGCTCTCAGTCTACAATGGCCACGGGCTCAGATTTCACATCTTCAAGCAATTAGAGCAATTAGCGTGAAGCCATTTCCCATTCAAGGATCCAAGGTCTGTGGTGACATTCAAGTCCAGGGGAACCTGAAAGGGAGACAGAGGAAGCGGCCCAGAGAATGGCTGCTCTTCCGTGGCCCTGAGCAGACCGTTTCTCTTAAAAATGGTAGCTCTTTAATGATATTATTTTGAGGGTGTTAAATGACATATCAGGAGATGTTTATATTGAGAAAACCCAACAGTCATTTAATTATATCGATGAAGGTCTTTGTACATGACACATTTTATAGAGAATGCTGGCGGCCACGAGGGAGAAGCACGGCTGAGGGCAGACCGCGTTCTTCGGAGGAGAATATATTTGATGCTGTGTGAGGGAATTTGCATGTCACTTTCACATGGTAAACCTCCCTGTTTTGGGCAAATGCAACAATTATCGCAACATGGACTATTTAGTTGGAAGATATTTGGTGTGAGCATTAAAATCAGCTTTTGTGCCCGGCCAGTGTGGCTCAGTGGTCGAGCGTCGACTCATGCACCAAGAGGTCACTGGTTTGATTCCCGGTCAGGGCACATGCCCAGGTTGTGGGTCCAGGCCCCAGTGGGGGGCATGCAGGAGGCGGCCAGTTGATGTTCTCTCTCAATGATGTTTCTGTCTGTCTCTCCCTCTCCCTTTCTCTCTCTCTAAAATCGATAAAGAAAAATTATATAATAAAACAAACGTTTTTGCCACTTTTACACATTACTCGAGTACAGTTTGGAGGTAAGTGATCAGCACTAGCGCATCAGATACTGCGCAGGCAGAATAGGAGGGAATCTGTTAAAGCCAGTCGTAGGGGCTGGAATGGTGTGGGGGGTCAGTGGGAGCAAAAGGATAAGACAACTGTAATGCCTTCAACAATGAAGGTTAGAAAAAAAGAAAGTTAAGTAACCCAGTTAAATTAGGTGTAGTTTGATCTAATACAATGTCCTCAGAAGAATAAGAAGCAGTCCCAGAATCCAGTCGGGCTTCGTTTTGCTTGTTTTTTACATTTGTAACTAAGTTCCTGGGGGTCTTGTTTGTTTGAGGCAAACACCCTAAGTTGATTATAGCTTTTAAATGGGTTAATACATTTTTACATCTACATTTTATGTTGGCATATTATGCAAATAGGGAGGAGGGCTAATTTTCTCAATCCAGGGTGGTCAGATCTGCTGTGGGGCCCCAAAGGCAGGGTTGGCCATGGCAGTGACCACAGGCGGGACCGTATGGGATTCTGGTGCCCTTTAACCTGGTGTTGCCAGTTCACAGTGTTTGCTAACAAACAGCTCCAAGTAAAAAAATGTTGGGAGAATTACTTTTTCATTATATGTGTTGACTTGAATTAGAATAAGAGGCTTCTTTTTAAAGAAATAATTGTGAGTCTCTAAGAAACTTCGTGGGATAATTTATGGAACTGCCTAGTTGGTTTCGAAGCTGCGAGGTAGTGATCAGTTCTCTGTCCTTAGGACTGAATGCATCTGTTTGTGTGACTGAGGCATTTTTGTTCATTTGGTGACTGGTCATTTCAGGGAACTGCAGTGCTCAGAGCTCCGTAGCCTCTCTCTACCCACTTTGAGCTCTTCTCGGAAGATGATTTTCCTATCGCCCAGTTCTGCCCCTTGTGAACCTGCAGTGCAGGTGCAGGGGGGCTGGCAAAATGCAACATCCTGGGCACTGCGCAGGGTGCGACCTGTGTGTCCTCTGCCCCTTGGAAGTGGATTGCTAGAAGAGGATGGGCAGTGTTCACGAGTGGACCACTGAGCCAGGCGGGAACATGTGAACCAGGCACTCTCCCCTCCCACGAGTGGAGAGACAGGCACAGCAGCCTGCGGGCCCAGAGGACGGGAAGCAGTGCCTAGACCTTCCATCGCCCTCCCCTAGCCCAGCCCTGTTTCTGTGATCTGCCTTTTGAACTGTTTTGTGGCTGATCAGTTCCACCTAATATGTCTCTTTATTCCTGCTATTGTAATACTCAGGCGACATGCTCTTCTGTTCATTTTTATAACCCTTAGATGCTTCTGCCTGTCATATTCTGGCGGTTTATCGGCAGCGTCTGGATTTGCTTTCAGACTTGAATGTCTATCAAGCTGCCGTTGCTTTGAATGTGAGATCAAAAGAAGATGAATTCCAGTAAGAAATTTCCTCCTATGAAGAAAAGACCGGGGCCTATGTAAACAGCCCACTGACGGTTCCCAGTGAGTTATTTCAGCCAAGTGTTAGCACCTGGGGTCAGTCCTGCACCGCCCAGGGGACAGCCACACAGTTGCTTCCGTGGCTCAGGCTGCCACACAGCAGTGCGTTTCAGGAGGAATGTGCTCTTCCTCCTCCCCTCCCCCTTTTCTTTTTCAGTGAATGTGGCTGTTCAGCTCTTCATCCTCCTTTTCGAGCTGACTTACTCTGCCTCCAACAGTTTTCTTTTCTTTACAGTATCTGTCCAGTTGCTCAGGTGACAGAGACAGGACTTTGTGGTCACTCTTTTGGGGCGGGGTCATGAGGGTTCGAGTAGGTGAGTGAGGCATCCAGAGGCACCGGTGGTTCGGTGGTGGCAGAGGACAGTAATGCAAAGGAGAAGCAAAGAAGCATCTCCCTGGGACTCGGGCCCTGCATTCTCTACAAATGGATGGGGCAGAATCCTCTACAGAGTGCAGAATCTGACTTCTTTCTTTCTGGTCTTTCTTTCTTGCATGCTGCCTGTGTAAATGTCACCACAAAAATATCTCAAACACGTTTACAGGTTTCCCAAACCCCTGCCAGTGTGTGTGCCTGAAGGAGCTGTTGGCCAGGGCTCCGTCCAGCCTGGCACTTGTGAGGCTGCGTGACCTGGGGGATGTGCATGTAGGGAGCACGGATGGATTTATGAGTGCGCGATGCAACTTTGAACATTACCTGCAAGCTCCAAAGGATCTTTCAAGTTCGAAAGTGAAGTTGCTTGAGGAATTCTTGTGGTTTCTTTGTCACCGAGGGAGCCGGCCCGCCGTGGAGCAGGCGTCCCTGCGGGGCCGCAAAGGGCACTGGCTGTGCAGTGCGTTTCGGTTCTGCCGAGCTGCGGCCACAGCACTTCCTGTTTATTCAAACATCTTCTGTACCCGCCGCCCGCCTCGCAGCAGCAGCAGCAGCAGCACCCTGCGCGGAGGAGACGGAGTCCCGGGCAGCCGCTCGCTGGCCGCTGCAGGTCCTCCGTAAGTGTCCGGCGAAGGGACCTTTTCTCTGCTTCAACTTTCCCCGGGGCTCTGCGGCTGCGGGACAGACGCCCTCGCTCGCAGGGCGGCAGGAGATGAGTCGACTTGTTTACTCTGCCTCCTCCTGTCTGCTCCCAGGCAGCGGGCTTGCAGAAGGGACTGTCTTCCGACTCCTCCTCGCTCTGGCTTCAAGTGTGTCTGGATGTCAGCAGCTCGCAGGCAGCGGGTGTCCTCGGGACAGTTTATAGGCTTGAATGTGGGCTGAACCTTTCTGCCCATCTGTGGCACTGTTGGCGTCGGTTCTCCCTTCCTGTCACCGCAGGGTGAGTGCAGTCCTGCCTGGCACAGCTGTCCTCTGCTGTCTGCTCGGGACGCCGTCATCAGTTATGAACCGCTCTTGATAATCTTTGTACCAATTTCATGCCAATAAAAGTCAGACTGCTGAGGCAGGCACGGTCATTATCTCCTCCCCTCCTGCCTGTAAACAGGGTGGGCTGCAGGAGGGGGAGCCCGCCCCGCTCCCCGCTCCCTGCTCCGCGAGGGCTGTTAACTCTGATGTGGGAGGCTCCCTCGGAGTTCTCCTGGTGGGTAATTAGGGAGCAGGGAGCCGGGGACCTGGGCCGGCTTCACCTCGGCTAGCGGTGTGTGACAACTGCTCTCTGTCCTTTCTGTTGAAACAAGTTTTTAACACAGAGTTTGACATTTTTTAAAGGGTTCCACCTTTTCCTGTCTGATGTTGCCCCTCTCGCCCCATCCCCCTCTCCCTCCCCCTCCCCCAACCCTGACCCCCAATGGCAGTATAATTGGCAAGCCAGGTGCTAAATTTTTTTAACTATGTACTGGCCAGGCTATAGGCAGGAAATGGAAAATTAGCTTTTTGGATCCTAAGGGAATTGTTATTACTCTGAACCTTGTTTGTTAGTCCACAGACTAAATAAAGATCCTTGCATTTTAATGTCTAAAACAGCGACTGTTAGAATAGAGAAGGTAGGTATGCTCTGTGTTGTCCAAACCTCTAACAGAAGAAACATTTAAATAAATAAAACACATGTGTGAGTGTGTGTTGCTGTTGCTATGCTGGGCTTTTTAATGTTCAGAAGTTGTACTTTGCAAGAAAAAAATTGTGTTTGCAACTGCCTGAGGACAATTAGATTAGCAGTAGGAATAATTGCAGGGAGGGTGGGAAGAGTGACCGAGTGTTTACTCAGATGTTCATGTAGGTGTGGGGCCAACAGTGCACCCTTTGCTTGTGTCTCCGTCTGCTCGATGACCACGAGGTCTCCCAGCTCGGAGTTCTGTTTTTTCTGGATGGCGTGTTTGATTATTTATCAGAAGGGGAAGGGAGTAGCTGAGGCAAATAAACATGTGACCCAGTTCTGTTTTGTTTTCCACTCAGAAAGCCATGTCCTTTAACAGATATAAAGAAAATAAGAAATGCATTGTTTTATGATAAAAGGAAATTAAATGTGTCATTTTGTTTTAAAAGCAAGTGAGTTAACCCTAGGAGGACCCTGAAGCCTTTTGCCTTCTTCGAATTTGCTTTTTTACCAAAAATTGGTCTATTGCCATGTGCGACTGTGTGATACAGGGTTTCCCAGGACTTGTTGTTCAATGGTTTGGCTTTCTGGATGCTTTGCTTAGTTATGCCTGCCTCAGTCATTCTGTTCTTGGTGTGTGTGTGTGTGAGAGAGAGAGAGAGATACAGTGATATTATTGGACAAATCAGTTTTGTTGAAGACAATATCCTGACTTTAGATCTAAACATGATTATCTCAGTTAAAAGAAAAGAGACCAGAATGTTTCCTTTATGTTCACAGTGTAATTTATTAGCTACTGACGTGTGCCCGTCTGTAAGGGTGGCTGGTGCTGCAGTGAGCAGTCACTTCAGATCTGTGCCCCTCGCCCATCTGCCTTTAACACCACGGAACGGACGTGATGAGCTTCAGGCTGTCATCTCAGATGCTGTCCTCTAGGACCTGAGGAAAGGCTCCAAGCTACGTGAAAAGTAGATTTTTAAAAAGCAAATTAAAATTTCACTATTTTTGTTTTAATCCTCAGGTGTAGGGTTTACAAGACTATAGATTTCTTGATCCATAGGCACACTGACATCATGCACACACGGCACATTCTTGATAACTGGAGCGTGGTTCTCTACAGACTCCCTCACATGCACCCCAAATATGATGGGCAAGCCCCGCACAGTGCCCGGCCCAGTCACACCGAGCCCTGTGAGTCACAGTGAGGGTCAGTTCCGTGGCCTGGGAACTGGGAGAAGTGCCCAGAGGGACAGCTCCTCGCTGGCTGGATGAGGGAGCGCCCAGCAGATGTGACACCTCCTCGCCCGGTCTCGCCTCGCGTGTGTGCCGGGGGCCTTGCTCACAGACGACAGACGTGGACATGGGGCCTTCCCGGCTCCTCCGTCGTCATCTTGGGTGACTCTCCAGAGGCAGTTCCGTGGGATCATCACACCTCGTACGTGTCCAGAGCCCTTTGTCTGTGCAAATCAAAGTGCCTGACTAACGCGACGCGCTCGGACTCACAGTCCCTGGGACATAGTAGGCTGTAAAGAGTGTCTCACTTCTGATGTGGGAAGGTTCCTGCTGTTAGATGGTGACAGTCTCTGGGTGTGTCTGTGCTCTCTGCCCACACCGGACCTGGGAGGGCTGTGTGCCTTGGGTGCTGGGAGCAGCCTTTTCCTGCGACACGTCGCCTGACCACGGGAGGCTCAGGGAAGTGTCTCCCCACAAAGACACGGGGCCGGGACAGAGTGCGTGGTGGTGGTCGTGTGCTGGGAAGGGGCTCAGCAAGGAGTGGCCATGCTTCCTTTCATCCATTTAGGGTCAAAATTAGGGGGTGTTTTTTTTAAGATATAGCACAGTCTGGAAATTCTGATGTTTATTTGGTCTCGTTTTAACTCAATATGATGTTGGCGATTCAACTTTCACGAAATCGAGTTAGTTTGTGCTTCGTAAAGAAGCCGACACCACGCGCTGTCCCCGCACCCGTGCACCCAGCCACTTACCGATCGCCTGCAGGCCGGTCCCGCCTCGAGGCTGCATCTGCCCGGTGTCACCGGAGAGTCCTGTCCTGCCCAACCCTGGGCTCTTTCCACGTTGTGACACGCAGTTTGCTGCCACGTCCGCTCCGCCACGTCCACAGCATCTCCAGAAGCCTCGAGAATGGCGTGGTCGTATTTAGGGTGTTGGACACACAACACTCAATATAGAAATCAGATTTGAAAAATCTCTATTCAACATGTGTTTTTAATTTTAAAAAGTAATTTTCAAAAGACCATAAATAATATTCCACGTTTGCTTAAGAAAAGTAAACATAGGTGATGATATTATACTTTCTTTTTTTTATTTCTATATTGATTTTTAGGGAGAGCGATAGAAACATCGATGAGAGAGAACATCGACTGGCCGCCTCCTGCATGCCCCCCACTGGGGATCAGGCCCACAACCTGGGCATGTGCCCTGACCCGGAATTGAACCTGTGACCTTTTGGTGCAGGGTTGACGCTCAACCACTGAGCCACACTGGCTAGGCAATATACTTAATTGCTTTTCTAATTCAGTTATGTATTTTCTTCTAACATTTGCTTAGTACTTTCATAATCAGTGCTCATTTATAAAGCGCTTTTAAACATCACTGAAGAAGCCCTGTTGTCTGTCAGGCCCTAGTCTGTGCCCATTTCATGTATTAATTATTATTTAGGAACTTTTATTTCTGCCTGTTCTCCCAGATGAAGAATCTGAGAGGTTCTGTAACTTGTCTAAGGCTACACAGTAGTGAGAGCTGGTGGGTGCTTATTCACCTCGAATCTGCTTCTGTAGAGATACGTTACTGTTTTTAAAGCAACCTTCCGTTTCTTTGGAATTGTTGATTCTCCCAAGGTCAGTAATTTCCCCCAATTCCCCAAGCATCCTTATTTCTTCATGCCTGGGGACTCAAGTTCCACCTTATGCTCAACTGTGGTTACTGGAAGTTCCGAAGGTCATTGTCACTGGATGAGCACCACTGCCTGCCTGATGGGCACAGCTGTGTTTGAATCCCCTTTTAGAAAAGTGTTTCTAAGTCTTTGGCCTGAGCAATTGAATTTGTTTTTCTTTTATGATATTCAGTATCTGTAATAAATATGTATATTTATATAAAGGATAAAATCTTCAAAAAGTTCACTCCAAAAATTACCTTTGATTATGGCTTAGATTATCTAAATATATTCTCCTAAATGATTCTAAATTTTTCTTTGAGCTCTGTCTTGTCATGCAAGTAGCTTCAGTTTTCTGTGAGTGGAAGAATGACAGACCCCTGGATTTGTGGATCCGTGGCCATTTTGGTGGTGCTATTCCTAAGTACAAGTGAAGGGACTCCAGCCCAGACTGGGGCCCATGGCTGTGTGAATGCCCCTTGACGTGGTACCCAGGCAAGTGTGCGGTGCGATCCCTGTGCCAGCCCTCCCTCCAGCAGGGGTCAGCATCAGTGTCACCAGCCACCCCAGCTCACTGTTGGCCAGAGCAGCCCTTTTTGCTGTCTTGCTCGAAGACAGCGGTCCAACAGGTGCGCAGTCACAATTTTTGAAATTTGCCTGACTATCTAGTCAGGGGCACTGACCTCTTCCCTGAAATTGTCAAATAAAAATGACAACAGCCAACACAACAATAGCTGTGCAATGTGATTGAGTCAGAATTATACCTACCTATATTTTGTCAGATTGGCCAAAAAAACAATACACTTTTGGTGTGCGGCAGAATTTTAGTAGTTTATGTGTCCATGAGATGAAAAGGTTGGAAATTTTAAGAGTCGAGGCCAGGCATTGCTCAGGGTTCGGGACGGTCGGAAGGTGTGCTGGGGTAAAAACCGGGACCCACGGTCAGTCACCTACCCCTCAGGTGCTTTCTGCACAGTGAACGTGGTCTGCCTCCGAGTCATCTGGGCTCAGAGGACGTTGTGGTCTTTCTCGCTGTCTCTGCAAAGAGGACACATGGTTTGAGATCACTGGGAAACAGATCTTCCCGCAAAGCTTATTTCTTATGTATGAGGCCATGTGTAATTGTAGTGATTGCTTCATTTCATACGTTATGATCATGAGCAGGTGCTGTGCTAAAGATTTTCCATGCATATCTCATATAATCCTTATTAGTTAACATATCTGTTCTTAGGGTTCCATATCTATGAACTGAGGGTAATACCTGAGGGAATTGTGAAAATTCAGTGACATGATGTGTCTATAGTGTTTAGTACTTGTCTGACGATAAACACTCAAATCTGCAATCCTTCTTATTTTCTGCATCCCCAGTGACCAGGGGCCAGAAGAGTTTTAA